TAAACTGACGACCCCTGACTCAGTGACATACTTATAGATGTTTCATCTTATATTCAAAACTGTACAATGAACCCAAACAGTGAACTCAATAACTGCACGAAGTTTGTGTAAAAATCAGTGATTTAGTTGAACTTTGAGCAGATTATGTCCTGTTTAGGGAACTTTTTATACAGTTATCTGTCTGCATTATGTATTTTTAATCATTTTTAACAATCATGAATACTTACAGTACTTACTTACTACTCCTACAAACAGGACAAATAACATGGCTGAAGAGAATCAAACATACACATAGAAAGAACAAATCAGCTCTCCACTAAAATCTGTATTTAGTAGATAATCATTAAACACATTGGTGGCGTGTTACAAAGAGGAACAGACTACTATTGGGGCAACACTGAATGATGAACTACTTTCCAAGTGTAATACACTCTTATAATTTCAACATATATGCAAAGAAGGAAATATGTGCTAAAAAATCTATCTTTTCAAAGTATCATGAACTGTATATTTGATGCAGATCACATCAAGATGAAGTTGTAATATAAAGAGAGCGATCAGATATTTTACCCCCCTCACTGAAGTTCAGTGTACCATGACTCCATCTTCTGGCAGCAGGGACGTTGGATGTGTACTGTGCATACACATAGTGAAAGTGTACTTTGTTTAATAAAGTGTAATTTAAGTATAATATTTTAGGGTTACCTACTGCCTATAGCGGCTTTATTTTGTTTATTGGTTTATTTTTAGGGAAGCAGAGAAGAGAAGCATTTGTGTATTATTAAGGAGGCATTTTTGTTACATTTTTTACTTTACTTTTTATTCCCTTATATTCCGCTTTTATTTTGTATTTTTGGTATTTATTTGTTTTTCTCTCTATATTTTTATACTAAATTACATTATTTTTTTAATGGCTACCACTTTAACCATCCTCATCTTTCATCATCTTTTCCTCTACAATGTTTTTTGTCTTGTTCTTTATTTCTGTCTTTAGTTGTTCTCAGTGCCTGGCTGATTTAAAGAAAACATATCTAACTTTGTTTTACTAGATTAGATTAGATATTACAGCTAATATTGAGCTCAATTTAACCACTTAAAACAATGGTTTACATAATATCCCAGCAGAGGAACAAGCTTACTTTCCTTATTTTAAGAGTAAGACCACTTGTACAACTTTTCAGTTTAAGAGAAAGTCGTCTAGTTCCAGTGTTGGAAATGAAGCAGCTGTTTAGTTTTTCATTGTTTTAATAAAAAAAGAAGAATCTTTCTGGTGCCTTCATGTAAGACAAAGTCACTTATTTTGATCATGCTGTTTAAAGAAATTGTGTCTTATTGTAAGAGGTACAAATTCATTAATTCAGCTCAATAAAGTGACCAAAAAACTTATTTTAATAGTAATAGTAAGTCTATCTTAAATAACTGACTTTTCATTGCTTGTAATAGGAACAACCTGCTTAAATGTTGCCCATTACAGTCTTTCAGTAGGTGTTTTTATGTGTGTGTTGTTGCTGTCTGATGGTTTGGTTTCTTGTTATCTTTGGTATGTATTTATTCTCTCAACACCATTGAGGGCTAGATTTAAAATAAAGGTTGAAGTTTTTAACAGTGTGAAAGATATTTGTATTACAGTGGTTGAGATATTAAGGAGGTTTGCATCTATTTGAAACCGAGCTGGACTCAGTTGACACCAAGACCGGAACAAGTGAGACAAGAAAACAGAAAAATCCCTGAATATGGGTAAACTGACTCTTTAAACCAGGACCAATGTGTCAGTCCTGAGCTCAGCGTGTGTTCAAGAATCCACTCGCAGTAAAAATCACTCATTCGTACACTAGTGTTTGGTATAAGAGAGGATTTATTTCATTTTTATGATTGTTCATTAACATGAGCGCAGTGGATGAGACCACAGACGCACACTGACATCACCACTGCACCAGCACACCGCTTCACAATACATTTATATACAGTTTCAACAGACATGACAACAGACGCTGACAGGCGACATGTTGAGGCAATGCAGAGTGGAAATTCTGCAACAAGGATGACGTCAGACTGGATCAAAGATTTGAGAAATGAAGGTTAAACAACAGGTCTTGAAGAATTATCAGAAACCTTTTAGGCTCTTGGAATACTTCAAGTTTCTGTTCATATTTGTTTTGTTAACATTTATCCCATTAAGTTTTAAATGGGAATCAGTTTCACTTGTCCCTTTTTTATGTATTTTCTTGCTGCCTCAAAATGTCACCCATACATACTAGCTCTGCAGATTCAGGAAAAGGCAATCTGTATTTGTTGTAATAAAGCAGATGGAAGCGATGAAAGTTGTTTAATAAAATCAGCAGAGAGCAGAGACGACCCTCTACCCGCTCTACCTATTCACAAAAGAAGCTTTCTTCTTTCAGCCATTGTTGAATTCACAGAGAAAATGATCTAGATAAGCATGTGAGGTAAAACGTAACAGGAATCATAAGTGTGTAAATTCAACCAAGTTTGAAACATGAAAGATGAATACAGGTGGAAGGAATAAAGCTTTGATTAAAAAAAAAATAGGAAAATGTCTTTGATACAAATAAAATGTGTCATAAGAACAAACTAAATATAATATGGCGCCAAGATTCTATAAGAATCATAAATGGTAGAAACAAAATTGTACTCTAAATGCTCAGATTAAAATCAAAAGCTGCTCTCAGAGAGACACACACACACACACACATTATCATATGCACAGAAGAACTAAACTTTGCTTTCATAATAGTGCCTCCTGGTAGGTTTCATAAAATCATGCTGAATCACTTTGCTGATTGGATGAGAGAAAAACTATACTCATTTCTTTCTCTCGTTTTACACACAGAGACACAACACAGAAATAGTTTCATACGAAGTGCTATTGGATGGATTGTTGGGATATCAACAGATTTCAGGTCAAACCTGTTTAAAGTTTTTCTAATCAACACACAGACGTTTCAGCAAAATGTTAAACACCACGATAATGTTAAAACTCACTATGTCAGTAGGTCTCACCCCTCAATGACAGGCACCGCCTGCAGTGCTGCCGAATCGTCCCGCGTTATCCTGCAGCTGTTTTTATTTTCATTATTTTTTACCACCCCATTTGCATCAATGAGGCTAAATAAAATACAACCATCAGTAAGACACTAGGAACAGTTGAGTCAACACCTCAAATTAAATAAAAACTGAACACAACCATCACAAAGGAGGATTTGCTGCTGCACTGTCCATCGACCAAGTATTTTTTTTTAGGTAGTTCTGCTGATAAATGTTCTTATGTTCACTTTTCTTTTAAGTTGGATTTTATAGAGTTACCTGATGCAATAAAAAGGGTTTTACATCCTGATTGACAGCTCGGTGCATTTCCCCACTTCTCTACAACTAGAACAGTGCTGTTAGAGCAGTCACATCAGTAACTTATCTTTATTTAACATTTCCTGATTAGCACCTTTAAACTTTTTATGTTAACTCATTAAAGCAATAGGACAGTAAAACAGATACTTCAAAGCATTATTAATAAAGACTGCTACTCTCAGCCACATTCAGTCAGTTTAGCACTGACAGAACTTCCTGCATGGCACCAGAAAGTAGGTTACATGAGTGTGTATGTGGGAAAAAAATAAACAGTGCAGTCTTTAGCGTGACCACACCCTTGGAAACACAGTGACACCACAGTGAGTCTGTGTCAATCATCTTGTGTTTTCTAGTAGTCGTTTTTACACTTTCCTCTCCTTGTTTCACAGTGACAGCTGGACAAAAGGCACGCTGCACATTTTCCTCAAACCTCCTCCTCCTCCTCCTCCTCCTCGCCTTCCTCAATATCCTCACTTCATGCTCTTCCCAAACAAACAAATGTCTTTTGGTGTGCGTGCGTGCGTGCCTTCAGACGCACATGTCTACAATGCCCTCGTCAGTGATCAGAGGTTGATTCTTCAGCCCCGGAGTCATGTTCCGCATCTTCACCTGCTCCGAGTCAAAGGGGCCCTGCCAGGAGGTTTCGGCCCCCAACATGGACTGATTGGACTGACCGGACTGATTGCTGTTGGGCTGCCGCAGGCCGGAGCTGCCACCCGTGGAGTAAACTCCTGAGTCTCCGCTGCCACTGCTGCCATGGCGGCTGTGTCTGCCGCTGGGAATGAAGGAAAAAGGTTTATAAATTAACTTTTTGATAAAAAAAAATATATTACACATTAAAATATGTCGTCACTGGCATTCAAATGAGTAACTTCTTATTAAATGCAGGAACACGTGAGCTGATATTGCCTCAGAGGATAAACCCACCTGCTGTCTGGCTGCAGGCCCGATGGGGGCGCCGCCAGGGCCTCAGGGGGCGGGTAGTGGATTTCCAGGACCGGCATTGGACAGATGATCACCTTATCACACAAGTGCTCTGATTCTGAATCGGGGGAGGCGAGCAGGCGAGGGACGTCAGACGCAGGAGAGTCACAAAGATACTGGAGGGAGGAGCAGATTGAGGAAGAGGAGACAGATTGAGATGAGACGTTCTGGTGGAATTTAAACTCAAGTGAGGTCAGTTTAAAGCTTCTCATGCTGAAATGCAAATGATTTGGACAGTCAGCTGCTACATCTGTAGGTCAACTATAGTAGCTTATTTCACTGTATTCACTATATATATATATATATATAAAGTTATAAGTAAAACTGTGGCTTCATACGTCCTTGAGGTGTGGGGGCAGCTGGATGGAGGGATAAAACACCGTCTTGATGGTCTTGTAGATCTTCATGAAGCCAAAGATTGCGAGCAGCACGATGGTGAAGAAGAAAATCAGAGAGCCCAGGAAGGACAGAAAGATCACCCACCATGGAATAACACCTACATTAAAAAAATACACACACATTTATTTACAATATGTCACATTATTCATCTCCTGGAGACGTACTCCAACCTTAACCGCCGACCCAAAATTCTGCAACAGGCAGAATGGAAGTGCGCAGATGTAAAGCGCGTTACCTGCGGTCTGCATGCAGATCGGCGAGGTAAAGCTGCTGCTCTTGTTGAAGAAGTCATAGCGAGACTGGACGCTCACACAGTACGAAGTCCAGGACTTCAGGTCTGGCAAAGTCACAAAGTTGCCACTGGTGATCAACGTCTGGACTCCTGAGGCCTGAAGGACACACGGGACAAACGAGACCTTTTAGGGAGCCAGCACACAACAGACAAACTTTGGATGTATGTCAGGAAGTTAAATATTAAGGGAATTCTTTCAGCAGAGCCGTCATTCAACCGCATCATTACTGCTCGTTATTGAAGAATATTTCATTAATGGAGTTGCTGCACTGATTAATTATTCTTATTTCTACACCGAGACAGTATGCAGCTCATTGTACCAAATTACCCACTTCTATGCATTCAACTTTGTATTTTTCTGACATCACATATATTTAGCTGTCCTCGCTGGGGTGTTCCGACATCTGCTCAGATAACTGCGGTACATTAGCGTGACCACGAATGTGTGGACAGACATTATCTGCACTCCGTCTCTCTGACTGATGGTCGTCTGCTGAGATGAATGCTGTGTGCCTTGAGGTGCATTAACAACAGATCAGGTCGTATTTTAAAGACAAATGTCGGCTATGCAGACGAGGCCCAAGGCACTGAGAGCATGCAAACGGCTTTGATTTTCCCTCGATTCTCATTCAAATACGAGCATATGTCTGTAAAGCCATCAAGCCTGCAATGACCTTAAAGCATACAACTGACAAAGGAAAATGAGGCTGCCTGCAGTTAAACATACACTTCAGTTTTTTTTTGTATTTCTGTTTATCAATTCATCTGTTGGGAGTAAAATTTTCAAAAAAACTTGTGTGTTTGTGTTTGTTTCTGCATGTGTTTCTAAATGTCATTTTTCTGTCTTTTGTCTTTGGCAACTTAACAAGTTGGATATGCGGTTTTAGTGCCAGGACACTGAGGAAATGTCTGTGTTGTGGTCTCTTACCATTACTGGCCTAATTCGAGTATTGCTACATTACCTGCAGTGTCTCAACACTAAGCTGGGGTGGAAGCTTTTCAAGACAAATAGTTATAAAACCCCTCTGGCTAAGACGAATAGATTTAAAAAAAACCCCCATTAAACTACGCTCTATGAAGGAATTAGTACTCTAACACTTGCACATACTTGCACTTTACAGCCAAACTCCTCTAATTCTATATGTAAATGTATATAGTTTGTTTAACGCTATGTGTGTGTTTTTGTGACATTTGCACCTTTGTTGTTCTGTGAAAGCGATGTTAAACATTCATTTCCCATCGCCTTGCGTCAGACAAAGTATTTCTGATTTGATTCATGGCTTTTACCCCCAGAAAACACCAGCCAGCTCTCGGAGAAGCAGAGGTGTAAGCCAGGCCAGATGAACTGAGAAGCTATGAATAACTATTTCAGATTTAAATCATCCTTTTCCACAGATCAATGATGAAATTTTGAAGGTGTCCCGTTTTTATGTGTGTGAAATATACGTCAAAACATCCTTTCTGAGTATCTATATATCTCAATCCCTCTCTGACTCATCCTGTGAATGGGGAAATACTGTATATGTACATTTATAAAATCAAAATGACTATCTGGCTAACCGATCATTAGATTGTGGCTCATAACAGCAAGCAGACTGACACTGTGGGTTAAAGGTGTGTGTCTGAATATCAGTCATAAACAAATAAATGAATCATATTTCCAATGAACGTAATCAAATATGTCTCAAAGTGAGCTCAGGCCCACATATTCTGTTTCACTCATGTCACATTACATTAACCGCTCTCTATATTACTGGGCCTTTCACAACAATAACCACTATTTAGAATAACTCAGGAATAAAGCAAATTAAATGGTTATAAACGTTTTTCAAATGGAGAACTAGAGAGAAATTACAGTCATTTAAAACATGCATCCATTTACATTCATGCTTTCACTCGGTTGATCAAATTAAATTAACATATACTGGACCATTTAAACATGATAAGTTCATGTATAATAAAGAGTATATATTTCGCATTGCACACATTTGTACAGTTTTTATTATTTATTCTGCATCACATTTTCTGTTTTCTACCATGAATATTATTTATTCTATTTTAAGTAGTATTTTTATTGTTTAATGTATAACTCATTTATGTATCTTCATAAAATACCCAGCAGAATAAAAACAAACAAACAAACAACATCACATGAGAGAGTATTGTGTAGTACTATGTATAGATAAAAGGAGGAAATAAGCAGGAGTCTGATAAACTGTATTTTAGAAGTAGGAATCTCTCTGCAGCACATGTGACATTTTACTGTCTGTTTATGATTGCTGGTGTTTTGGGTGTGTTCTGGCCTTCATCCAAATCCTATGACATTTTCATCAGCTCTGCGTCAGCTACAGGTTATTTTAGGACTTTATAATTCACCTACCTTTTCCTTGTCAAACCAGTTTTAATACAAACCTGCTTTATATACATCATTTTAATTCCACAGGGTTTCTGCTAGAACAGTTTCCAATTTAAAACATCTTAAGACCATTATGAATCCAATGGAAGACCTATTGGTATTGGTTACATGCCGGTTTTGCTTTGTAGTTGCTATGACATGATCACTACAAAATGTTCCCAAAAACGCATTTAAAAGCGAGACAGAAAAGGCCAATCACATTTAAGACATTTTAAGGCCTAAAATTCTAATCATTTGGATTATTTAGACTTTTTAAAACCCTGCAGACACTGTTTCAAGGTACATAAAACAAAATTGTGCCTTTATCATCACATCTAAACAGTTTGTATGTATTGATTTTATATTTTGATCAGGATTATTTAATGCATGCTAATTTCCAGAGTCTAGCTATAAATGAGGAGTGAACATTCCAGGAAACAAACAAATATCACAGGAGGAAGTTTCATTTCAAATATTAAAATATTTTTGTTTTACATGAGTGATTGTGATGAAACACAAGATTATTTTGAAAATCAAGCATTTTTTAAAAGAGCATATTCGAATTCAAGCACATTCCTAACCTTAAAGAAGCAAAACTTAAAAAAAAAAGCTTTTTCCAAACTTTCAAGACTCTGTGCAATGTAACCTGTATATTATCACAGCTGGCAGGAAATCAAGGCACCAGACAGGAAGTTGTGCACACTTTATCGCGTGAGATTCAGCCGCCTTGTAGCACAGGCAGGAAACACCTCTGTCTGATGTATAGGACACCAGACAACACCAATGAACCAACAAACACTTTGCTGAACATACGTAACACGAACACAGAAACCAGGTGCTCTGCTAACACGGCTGCTCTGAGTCTATGACTTGATTATGTGGCTGCTGCAGGCTCGGGGGTTTCTCCAGGTGTCTTTAGGGACTGAAGAGAAAATGGGAAGTGTGAACTGTTGGGTTTTTTACCCTGCTGTAACATGTCTGTGAGGATCTTGCTTTTTTTGAACAAAGTTTCTGTGGGAGAGGTAACAAAAGGCTTTCAATACCCACAGCAACAGGGGAATTTATGTGAAATAGAGGTGCTATAAAAAGACACCAAAAGCTGCAGCCTGAGGAAATGTTCGTTTATATTCATATGTCTTCGTTTAAATCGTACGCGTGGGCCTCGTGTTTGTCAGATGGATGACATGCCTACCCGTGTGTGTGCAGTGCCTTCCCAGTAGACGTAGTGGTAGTACAGCTGGGGAATCCTCTCCTTCATGGAGATGTTTTTGCTGGTCAAAGGGTCCTGGATTGAAACATCCAGAGAACTTCCAGCAAGAGTAAGGTTCACTTTGCTTGGAGGGCCCAATGCAGCTAGCAGGAACAAGAGAGAGACAAGATATGAGATCCAGGATATGATGATTTTTTTTAGTTGTGATTAGAAGAATTCCCAAAACACATTTAAAAACAAGACATTTACAGACATTTAAGACATTTTAAGACCCTGCAGACACCTTGATAATATCTTTTCTATCTTCTTACATCAGTTTGATAAATCCCTGAAATTGAAATGAGCGTCACACGTGTCTGTGTGGTATTTTGGTTCCCATTGCAGCTCACACAGGTAGGAGGCTTATTCAAATGAGGCAACGCAAAACCAGTTGTTGGTGGTAAAGTCTCATAATCATGTCTGTTTCTGCAGCAACGTCACTCTGCTGCCTAGTTAGTGACTTTCTCCTCGACTTATATACTTGAAGCAAATGTGTGGCAAGAATAGAATAATGTTAATTCAATTTAAACAATTTGAATAAGAATCTCTCTAACCAGTAGATGCATTTATTTGGGATCAGAAAATGTGATTATAGCAGGAACTTCAGTAAACCAGCCTGCATTGATGTACACGTTAAAGTGTGATTTGATGTGAAGGCAGCAGGACACACTGAAAAAATCTGCCGCCTCTGATTGGAGACGTGCGGCCCCAGAGAACGGTGCCATTCCACGCGGCTATCTACAGTGTTTACGTTGGTTAAAACATGGCAAGCGACGCCACACTGCTACAGAATAACCGCACAGACACACACACACCTCTACACACGTCAGACTGGTTGGTTATAAGGTGATATTCTGCCTGGATTACCGGGGCTCGTTCACATCGTGCCACAACATGAGTTTATTTAAGAAGTACCACACCCTCTGATCTATATTCTACTTCACCTAGCCTCACCTAGCCTCACGAATCATCGCCGCACCTAAATCAAACAACCAGGCAGGTGAGCTTGGAAACGCCCACACAGTCCGTGTTGTGTGTCATTTCCACATACTGTATAGATACGGCCCAAGGCTCTAACACAAATACACAAAAACACAACAATAAGACGTGCCACCCTACACCGGTTGTTTAAGCTTTCATCATTAAAATAGGGTCTGAGGCTACCAGCACTATTACTTTTATGTGATCTCAGTAGGTCACTATGTACGACGAGTATTAGGGCCAGATTAAGAGATTTTTTTTTTTTTTTAATTACGCCATAATATTAGCTCTACGAGAATAAAGTCGTAATATTATGAGAATAAAGTCATAATATTACCAGAATAAAGTCGTAATATAACGAGATCTGTCAGCCTGTTGGCCTCATCCAGCAAAACTGTTTACACGACAAAATGATCAATACTTAGCTGTACGCTGTTGACTGTACAGTACGCTGAGACAAACATGCGGCTGCGGGCTCAGCTCAGGCTGCTGTTTTGGTTGAGCTGCTTCACGTCAGATCTTGATAACTCTATCGAAGCTTTTTTCTCATTAAAACAACTTTTTTTATTGTATTATTATTACATTATTCTCGTAATATTACGACTTTATTTTGGTAATATTATGACTCTTTTTCTCATGACCTAATATTTTGACTTTATTCTCGTAATTTCCGTATTTTTTTCCTCTTAGTCTGGTCCTAATACTCCGTCGTAACTATGTGTGTTGCTGCATACAAGGAAATGATTGTACATTTAGAATCCATTTTGAAAAGCAGGAACAAATTAGTCCAGATTTCTCTACAGCTGTGAGCAGTGTTCTTGGTGAAACTGTGTTCAATCGTGTCAGAGATGTTTACTTCTGTTTTTTTAACAAGATCTTGACAGAACTCTACACTGTGGTTTTCAAAGGTTACCTTTTTCCTAGCATTGTTGCTCAACATCGCTTTGTGGTTGTACGCTCTTTTTTTTCAGTTCCTTCTCTACATTCTCTGTTTTTGATGGTTTGTGGTGCGCCACCTGAGATCTCAACATCTTTGCTGGAAACTTTAAGTATCTGCCTGAACACTGAGAGACACGTTCTGTCTCGCCCTCCCTCCACTTGTCTTCTTCTCACCATTTTTATCCGGACAGAATTCTATGTGCACCCACGCAGAGTGACTCCCGTTCACGTTGGCGCGGACATGAAGCACGTAGATTCCTAGGTAGTTCAGGTTACACTGGGTAAGGTCACATGACCGGTGTGATGTCTTGTCGCATACAACTGACCACTTTGGATCCCTCTTTTTGGAGCTCAGCTTGAACTTCCTGTGATGAAGAGGGGAAAAGAATATGTAAAGCATTGATACATGGTAACTGAAAACACCAAATATATCTTGGAAGTAGATTTATATACACTGGATTGACAACATTAATCATTATTAGCTCTGTGAATTAAGGGTTCATTTCGACCAAACCAGAGTTGGTCATTGTTACTGGAACAGTGGAAAGACTAATAAGGATGGCTTTGGTATGTCTTATTTTGTTTCCGGTGAGTTTGAATCAAAGTGTGTTCCAGGATTATCTGTATGATTAAATTACTGTTTTTGTCCATGGAGTCTGGTGGTGAGCTATAGCAATATTTCAGTTGTTTAAGGTCTATCGCTGTAGGGATCATTTCCACAATGGTGTGACAAGGTGTAATTAGAGTAACAATCTGAGCCCATCAGTGGCAAAAACAAGAACTTTTAGTGGACATACTTTGACTGGAGCATTTGTCCCAGGGATTAGCTAATGTTACATGGCCGCCATAGCAGCTCATTTTGTTGCTTTTTTTGGTCATCTAACTGAATGAAGCTGAATTTATTTCAACCAAACCAAAGTTGGTGATTGTTGTTGGAATACTGGAGTTTATGTGTTTTCTGTCCACTTTGAATGAACCGTGTTGTATGATCTGCGAGGTAAAATCAGTGTTTTTGTCAGTGGAGTGTGGTGGGCCGTAGCGCTCTCTCATTCGTTTTCGTCTGATAGTCGCCGCCTATTAGAAACTGGGAATGCAATCTCATTGATACCTCTTCAGTCTGAAACATTGCACAAGACAGAGACACATTAGTTCATCAGACCTCAACAGGCTCTGACATTTACATTCCAATAAAAATAAAATGTAATCCACGCTGAAGTTTGCCAGTACGTCCTTTGGACACGCTCAGCATCCAAGTATGAGGAACTGTTGGACGCAAGTCAACTTTTATCTCGGTTTGCCAGTAAAGACTTTCCTCATTTCCTGCAGTTGGGTTTGAATTACATTTTCAGTGGCCACAAACTGCACCCACAGTTCTCCTGGAGTACAGCTGGGACCCTCAATGCATTAACTTGGACCACAAGAGCAGTTTTATTTTTCACTACACAGAGCTGGACTGAGCTGACCATACATAATTAAAGAAAAACAACATTAAGAGTGTACAGCTACAGACCTGTCTCTGTGAGGCAGTGGTGCTCATTGCAAAGACAATTTAATTGTAAGATGGATTAAAGCGGAGATCATTAGCAGACGTGGTGAAGTCAATTGGACACCTGGACAAAGGGTGTTAACTTATATTTAAAAGGTTTACTGAGTAAGCATTCAGAGATGTGTATGGGAGCTTTACACTTCTTTTTGTAAGGGCCGTGGCGTGCAGGAAGAAAATGTTTTATGATCTGTCGGAAACATTATCATAGGTGCTGGCCAGAGTGCCTGCACAACCTGTTTTGTTTTTTTGATTGATAGTCTTATCAGTTCTTTTTTGTTACTAACAAAAACGTTAAAAACGTACAAAAATATATTATTTTAAAAAAGAATAACAGGATTATAATTTTATATTTTAAATATAACAGCAGTATACAAGTATATGAACTCAATAACATCTTACTGGAAACCGCATAAACAGACTTTTACTGAACAAATAATTCTCTTATGACTGATCCATCTGCAGCTGGAGCTCTCTTCATACACGAATGTCTGTACCAGATTCCAGTCCATCCAAAAGCCGTTGAAACATTACACCCTGGACTGAAGTGGTGGGCCGACCTCCTCTGAACCACACTGCTAATGCTGCAGTTACCTCAGCGTTTATTCAGAATGAAGATACAGGAGAATATGTTCATCTAGAGCTTTACAGGTAAATCACTTCACCCCATATTTAAGCTGGAGCTCGTCACAGCCAACGTGCTGCTCTGTCTCAGTGTGACTAGTCTCTCTCCCTCGTGTATGATGAATGTATGTATGTGTGAGTGAGACTTACGCCACGTATTCTGTGGTGAAGGTGACGGCGTGACCCCCGGCGCTCTGGTCCCAGTCCCAGCTCAGTGTGTAATTGGTGTTTAATGTCACCATGGTCACATTCTGTGGAGCTGCCACCTCTGCTCCGACTGAAACAAACAAGGGGGAAAAACCACATGACAACACAGTCTATGCTAACTGCAGCAGACGCCGTCAAAATCATTAAAACCCCTACAGGGACCTTTTGTGTTGATTCTGACGGCCCCTGTGGACAAAAGCGAAAGTGTTTCTACCGCCTCGTTTCATTGATGTCGAGGGGAGTCTGACCCAGAGGCAGGCATTAAGAAGAACTAGGTGGAAACAGCCAATCTTCTCGCTAATGGTGTTTATGTAGGTTTCAGACTGTTTCATAATTGGTTAACATACACCTACAATAAATACTATTTATTATTTATTATAATATAATAATATAGAATACAGGATATAACAAATATTAGGCTGCTATTTACAATTATTCAGTATTATATAAAGGGTTCTGCTGATCATCACTGAATCCAAATGTGCTACATTTTTTAACCTCACCTGTTCACAATTCACCTGTACAGCAGACATGTTCTTCTTCCTGTGGCATTTAAAGGCCAACTAGAGTATCTGTGGGTATGTCAGGTCTGGAAAAACTGCATCTTCAGTACCTTCGGTTTACAAAATTTTGGTATCAACTTGGTACTGAAGTATCGGTTCTTGTGACATCACTAATATCGACTACTTCTGGTATCGTGACATCCCCATTATGGCACAGAGCTTGAGGATATATCAGGCTTTGGATACACACACATACATTCATTGTTGGTGTGCGTTTGCACATGACCCAGGCTGGCATCCACAGGTATCCTTTAACAAGTTTGTATGTTAAAAGTTGTTACATTTGCGACCAGAGGAGGAGCACAACATGCCAACACAGCATCTGTGTCAAAGTGAAACTTCATAACAAGAACTGTTGGGAAAAACCAGACAATGTTGGAAGTGAGAGTGTAAAAATGGACCCGACAGCATGAGAAAAAAAACAACGTGTGTTCCTAAAATGTGTGTGGACGTCTTTCCTTTCCATCCCCCTATTTAGCAAACTATATTTAATTTATTTAACAAACTACTTATAAAGGGCATTTTAAATATAATTGTTAATAGTATTTGTTAGCAATTACAAATTCTCCTATGAAGACATATTATATATTAGTACTATTACTTTCTTTTGATCCATTTATAGAGCAGCCTCTACCTATTATAGTGTGTTATAAACTATTTATTTAATGTTTGTATACTGCTTACAAATGTGCAATAAATGCAGTTTCAAAGCAATAAAAAAATAATGATTACATATTCATGAGTATCTCGATGTTACTGGGGTTTTTAGAGAAGAAAAAGAAGAAACACTGCGTGTGATATCCATCCTTTGATGCTCAGGATCTAATGAGTGCACTCAATTCCCCAAAAGAAACTGATACAAACAGAAAGAATCCATAAAACACACACATTAATATTAATGATGTCAATATGAAAACCAAAAGGAGAACGACATAGAGTGGGAAATGTGTTCATAAGGATCTTGTGTAATATCGGATGAGACTTGCGCAAAAGAACCAGACTGGAAAAGTCAAATCTGCGGCAAACAACAATGTGACCTAAAGAAAGAGGAACCAAAAAAAACTAATTTAGGATGCTCACACCTGTGTACAGAGAATAAATCTGTACTGAGGGAACATCATAGACTCTACTCAGTAACACCTGTAGGTTAAAAACAACTATAGAACTAAACTATAGACCAAAGGCGTTGCGATCTCCTGCATGACGGACTCGGTACTCGGCACAAAAACAGGAAATGCCTGAAGGAGAAATACAGGGACTTTTAGGTGGTTAGGCTCAGTGTTTCCTGTGTGGGGTATGTGTGTGTCTCGGCACGTTAGGTCCCCTGTGGAGTTGGCAGGATTCTGGCTGAAGAGGTTACACAATGTTTCCTCACTGACTCAGTTCCTCTCATTCCTTTTCATGTGAAATTACTTTTTTTTTTTCTCTCTACCAACTTGTTAGCTACAAGAGAAATTCACATCCCATTCCATAGTAGATCAAACCCTAAAGGGTTTCTCCATGTTGGTTTCTCCTCGGGCTTTACGTGACTCAACAACAAGGACTGAAACAAAAGGAGTGAACTTTGGACTGAATAAACACACCAGAACATGTTTGTTGTGAACGGCTGTGAGTTGTATGACTCATTTATATCGCAGTCCAAACTATTCCTATTCCTACGTTTTGAGGCCTACAACAGAGGCCACATGCATGAAACGCTGTTGATTCATGACTAACTGTGTGTAGCCACAAGGACAAAGATATGCAGACAAATTCTTTTTGGCAAATTTATAAAGCTGCACGTACTCCTGATTTTATTTTTTAAAACTCTCCGTCACCCTGCAAGCCAACACATGCACACGCCTCATTTCCACTTCAGGTAATAAAAACTGTGGAAACGCCCTTAAATAACCGCTCAGATACCGATACTTGTACCCACCCCACCTGTGGTCATTATTAAACATCAGCAGGACGATGATTGATTAATCTCTAGAGCTCATATTGACAGAGCTGTTTACAAAGTGCTTCACGATGAAGATCATTAACAAGGAAATAATTGCTCCAATGTAAATAAAATGAACAACACTCACATAATTTAAAATCAGTCTTCTAAATGTGCCTTTGAGTGACATTTTACCACACACACACTTCTATAAATACCAGTTTATGTGTGGGAAATGGCGCATGCATGGTTGTTTAAACATCTGGCCCCTGAAGTCCAGGGAGAGTTTCAAGCGAACATTGATAAAGATCCTTTATTAAAGAATTCTGATCAATATATGTACAGATCAGGACTCTGTATGTAGCAAACTATACCCTTACAACACTATTTCTCAATGGCCTCAAACATTTCTGTACTGCAGTGTTAAAGATACTAATTGCTATACAGGAAAAAAGCGACAGGAAAGGGTGGAAACACTTCAAACCACTGGAAACCCAGCCAACTTTCTTTATACACTGATGGAGTCTGAGAAGTTTGCAAATGGTGGCGGCATTAAAAAGTAATGAAGACGAAAGGTACGTTCCAACTTCAGCTGTAGGCACCAGCCCAGAGGTAAAGCCCTGCACATACACATCTCATAGCACTGAGTCATTGGATTACTGGTTTTCAAGGAGTGGCACACCATTATGAGTGAAACTGCAATAATGATTCACCCAGTAAAACGTAACCCCAGTCAAAAGGAAAATGAAACAGTGACTCCACAAATACATCGGGTGATGAAGGGAAAGAAGCTGCGTCTGATTTCAAAGACATTTACTGAATCAGGGTAATCTCACTGAGATCTTTCAGAAGAGAGAGTACATGTGTACAATCAACAAACAGTGTACTGAAACATAACCTAGACCCTGATTATAAAACCACTGCGCCCTTTCCAACATTTTGTTTTGGAAAAAGACGACAAGCGTTTCCCAGTAGTGCAGCGGGGAATGTTTCCCTGAGACAGCATTAATCCAAACAGAAGAGGGCCCTCATGCTGGAGTCTTGTGGAAGTGAAACATGAAATAAACCCATTAAAGCACACACGTCTATCAGTCACATTCTCACTGTCTGGCTCTTGGAGAGGTCAGTTATTTCTATGTTAGCATTTCTCTGAGCTCATAATCATCTGTGACAGCAGTAATCGTCAGCTGTTTGACCAGATGATTTGTTTCTACAGTAAAGATGTCAGGAGACGCATTGGACTTCACCCCCCAATCTATTTCCTCCGTGGCCACAAGGCCTGTTACGAAAGCCTTCAGAAACACTTTTATGGCTGGCTAACTCTAATACACTCATTGTAAATGGACTTTTACTCTTGTTAGCTTAGCAACAATGAGATAACAAACAATCCCATAATGCAACACGCCCTGTAGAAACCTGTGTTCGGTGGTACTCCCTCCATTCAGACAGTATCTGCTGCTAAAGAAAGAACTGTTGTCTTTGACTCAGGCGTTGTTTAATGCATGTGACAATACATTCCTTTCCACATAGATACCCATAGAAACAGACTGTAACCATAATGTGTCTCAACCCATCTGGTGTCAAACATTGTATAGAAGAACCATAAAAGCAGTATATTCTCCAGTCTGCATGCGTGAGTCTATTCAATATTCCTTATTTTTGTATCAGACTGCAAGAGATTAAAAAAAAAGAAAGAATGGCTCAATTCTGCCAACTCCCTACTGCTGCTTTTAACACACACACACACACACACACACACACACACACACACAGATTATATCACTCCTACTTCGTTTTAACTCCAAGGTCAGTAAGAGTTTGGCCAGATAAAACACTGGGGGGGAAAAGGAGAAAAGAAGCATTGAAGCAGTGATGACTTTACCTCCGTACACTGAGTGCTGGGTGAGGAGGTGAATCAGCTCCAAAACATTAGTTTTTGAAAATACAACTTCTCATTTTTGAAAATAAAGAAGTCAGACAGGAAGGCTCTTCCCAAACCAAACCCGCTTCTTAGTTTACGGACTTTTATCCTGCAGTCCACTGAACAACCTTTCATTCAAACATCGTTCTCCATTCCTCAGAAAATTCAAGGTCCGACGTCAGTAATCTGTCGATCGGTAGAAATGAGGAACAAACTCCTCGCAGGCGGGCCGGGGCTATTCTCAGACGACCGCAGCGTCTGATGGAGGCAAAAAATTCACCAGCACACCAGAGTTCTTTAGAAGTACGGGCCCGTCAGATGATACCCACATGACACATGTTTGAGGCGTGAACCAGCGTTAACAGACACCTGCTGTCAAATGTTCACATGTTTAACGTCACAGCCGCAGCTCAGGTGTCAATGTCGTGCTGCCTTCTGGGTAAGGGCTGCACGCTATGGTACGCATACTGCTCTGCTCAGTATTTTGACAGATACTGCGATTGCGATATGATTCGCGTTTAGTAGGAAGTATCATTTTTGCGTCACAATTTTAATTTCGTTCTTCAAATTGGGACGTTGTCTTTTATGTGGAAAACCAGATTCGTAGGTCAGGGGATCTCTGCTACAGTACGGGTTAGTCACATTTTACCCATATTGCACTTATGCTGCCACTTTTGACAGCTGCAGTTCTACCTGAAGCCACACACATGGTGGTATGCACGAGCTTCTGGATTGTTCTTACTGTCAGCAAAATCTCTTAACCTGTTGATCCGTCTCCCAGGACTTTCCCACTTTCCCAACCCTGTTCAACATCTACTCCACAATGTGTCACCCAGAGACTCCTTGTCAAGGGAGTTTTGATGGGGAAAATACAGAATATCACCAGACGTATCTGCTCTCAAACAGCCCCTTTATATGTGGATTTGTTAATATTGCGATTAATAGGGCAGCCCTAACTCTGGGTATTTCAGGAGCTTATCTGGGTGCAACAGATTCTAGAGAAACGATGCTGTTACTACACTGTTCACTAATTACACTGCAGCTTCAATCAGGCGAGTAACACCACTGGGATTAGGGTCATTTCTGAGGACTTTAAATCTTTAGATTACTTATACAGCCCACATATTACAGTTGTTTTAACTTTTTAACTACTTTACTCCTCATACTGCCAGAATATTATATATAAATAGATATAATTAATCTATCTATCTATCTCTCTCTCTATCTATCTATATCTATCTATCTATCTATCTATCTATCTATCTATCTATCTATCTATATCTATCTA